TATATATATATATATATATATATATATATATATATATATATATATATAGTTTCCTATTATTTTTCGATCGCGTTAACAAACCAAAGTTTTATATGAACTTTATTTCTGTTAATAGTAATTCCACTAATTGTTTATTCACAAAAACTGATCGTGCTTTCTTATTAGTTTCGATCACTGGGAATTTTATAAATAGTACAAATTAAAGGATACATTAGTGCGAAGAAAGAGATAAAAAAAAGCTTTGTGTGAACAATATGGTAAATTCCACCGATACTTTATGAAACATCGTCCTTATATGAGAGAAAAATACTTACTAAGAAAAAAAAATATTTATTTGCGATGGGTACTAGTAACATATTTAAACTCATACTAATATAAAATATTTTTTAGATAAGGAAATATATATTATTTTAAAATCTTGATTTTTTTTACAAAAGCAATTGTTTATTCTATTTAACTGAAAGAATTTAGATTGAAGTAAATATGTTATTAGTACGCACCGAATAAATATTTTTTATTTTTTAGATATTTTTTTGTATACGTAAACTTGTCTCACATTGATTGCTCCATTTTAGAGTAAACACCATAATTCACCGATAAACTTCTATGAAGTTCGAACATCTAAACCTCAAACGCAGTACGCAGTTCAAAGGTTCGCTCCTCAAACGTTTGCATTTCTAGTGAATGCGCCTCAAATGCCTGTGCCTCGAATGCCTGTACCTCAAACGTTCAAACCTCGAATGCCTGTGCCTCGAACGTTCGAGCCTCAGGGTCCTCTGCTTCAAACGTTCACACCACAAACATTTACGCCTCATATAATCCAAATAAATGCGCCTCGAGCAATTTTGCCACAATCGATTATACTTCAGCCGATTGTACCTCAAGCAATTGCTCCTAGAACGATTATGCCTCAAACGTTTGCTCCTAGAACGGTTATGCTTCAAACGTCGCAGGTTGTTCCTCCTGCGTCTTCAATGTCTATGTTAACGATAATAACGCCACAACAGTCGCATGGTATAATTCGATTTATTTTCATTTCCATGAAAACTTTCTGCATCATCGAGAATTTCGAGATAAAATCAAACTGTAATTTTATATTTTTGATACAGCAATCCAGCATAATAATTTACAATCTAGCAATCTCGTGTATGCACAAAAATCACAGAATACTTCCAAGTTGCTAACATCTATTTGGATGTACGATCCTGAATTACTTCCAATCGGTCATAAAATTCCAGTGACTATCTCTACGCCATGGTACGGCGCTAATTGGGAAATAATGGATCCGTATGACATGGACGAGATTTACGCGAAAAGTTCCCATTGCGTACGTGATCCGTTTTCTCACGTCAGAGCTAATACCATGCGCAAATCAAACACTGCCGCTTATCAACTATCTGTCGAGTCAATGAAATCATTATGGAAGGGTTAGTATTGCAATTATATGTGCTCTCTAAATTTTAGGATGCGAAATTTCACTCGATAAGTAGAATGCCTATCGAGTCATTCGAATTCGAGTGATATTTCATTCATAAATTTATATATATATATATATATATATATATATATATATATATATAT